GAGATATTTGAAGGAAAACGGCCATTAATATAGATTACTGCGCCGTTAGGAATTAGATAAGAAATGTGAGGCCCATTAATCAAGCACAATGCATTGCTGATTAACCCCTCGCCGATTCAAAAGCGACGTAACTCAGGGGGTGATGGGATGGTGTATATTGAGGGGTTATTAGTTGAATTCAACCTTGATCTACGAACGACGTGATCCTATGTCGAGATTCCGGCGGTTTATGTACAGCTGCCAAGTTTTGATTGTCGTAAATAAGTTTTATTTGGTGTTATGGAGAAAATATTAGCTGAGCATTTTGGGTATGAGATTTGGAAGATAGGTAGGTATGTACATCTCGTTTATGACTGAAGAAAACACTGACAACTAACCAAACCTACTAGCATTGAATAACATCAGCCGTATCTGGGGTTAACAGATCTATTTTATGACAGACCCGGGGACATGGCCCGTTTGTATAATTGATGTCTAAAAAAAAAATAAAAAAGAACGTCATCAGGAAATATCTACTTCGTCCAGATCCAGAGATGGAATGTGGGAAATGAAATCACGATTTTTCCGCAACAAAGAAAACCCGGAGAAATGACATGTTAACCCGGAACCCGAAGATGTACCATCAAATCCCGAAAACTCCGGGTCAAACCCGGAGATCTGGCAACCCTAGCCGTATCTGGTATCTAAATAGCAAATAATAAAATGATACCGAAAAAACTAAACTAAGTAGTTCCATTCGCAAAGAGGTTTGAAAACAAAAAGATATCTGTGGTAGCTGCTTTTTGCGAGTTATTTTTGTCAAGGGTGATGTGGAGAACAACAAAAATACAAGATATGTATTTCTTTGAATGCTCAATCAGGTATGTATTCTTGTATTAATTATATTTAGACATGTCATTTGTAGTTTTTATTTTGGTTAATTATTTATTATTGGCTGTTTATTTGGTGTATTGCTACGAAATTCTATGCTAATTGGGGCTTGTAACTTATAGAGTAGTTTTTTCCTGCAATAGTTAGAATTCTTTTTGATTTCTGGTATGGAAACACATTGTTTGACTTCAGGTGATTTTCTAGAAAAAAAAACTGTTGAATTTGATTGCACTAGCTCAATATCTTTAAAATAGAGTAAAAAATACGAGAGCTAATTATAGAACCCATGTTTTTTAAAAATCCGAATTTTCCGATGTTGGTGCAGATTCTCATTTGTTTCTATCTTTAGAACAACATTTACACCAAGTTGACCAAATGTGTTATGAGGCAGGGGTATGTAAAAAAAAACAAGACAGAACCAATTACTATAAGCACTCATGTAAGCACAGCATTATACAGGCCGGCAAAATTTGCCCGACCCTCTAACCCAGAAACCAGAATGTACTTTTTCGAAGGATTTTGGTGCGCCGAATTCGAATCCGAAGTTCAAATTTCTCAATTGGCTCTGGTTTTCGAAATATCCTAACCTAAAAGTGCCAAAATCGTGATTTTTTGACATATTTGAGGTTATATTGTTACATGGATAGGTAATTTTTTCTTGCTAAAACCATTAATGGTGGTGCTGGGTTGTGAGTAGGTATGTTAATTTCAGCATGCGATTTCTCAAGGACGAAAAATTATATCGGGATAAATCCAAGCGCGTTTTAAAAAGTAAGTGTAATACTTTAAGACCCCATTAATGGTTTCAGCAAAAAAAATAACTATCCATGTAACATGACCTCAAATATGTAAAAAAATCGCGATTTTGGCACTTTTAGGTTAGGATATATCGAAAACCAGAGCCAATTGAGATATTTGGACGTCGGACTCGTATTGAGCGTACCAAAATCCTTTGGAAAAGAATATTCGTGTTGTTGGTTTAAAATTCTGTCGGCCTTTTTTTTCGGATTTTTTTTTAAAGAATTAACGTTTTTTTGATGAAGATAATAATATGGATAATTGCTAAAAAAAACATTTTTTACTTAAAAAAATGAATAAAAAGTGTAATTTTACTTATTACATTGATTTTCAGCAAAACGACAAATTTAAATATTCCGGGCACTAGGAAAAAAAAATCGCATCGTTTTGAAATTATCAGGGTTTCTTTAGAACACTTTGAGATTGAAAAGTTACAGTCGATATCCTTAGTTTATTCATTATCTGCAAAGTTATGCCAAGTTATTCAAATATCCCTAATTATGCAATTTTTTACCTTTTTTCTAATCAACATTTTGACTGAAATTTTTTTTTATCAAAAAACCATAATTACGACTTGTAGAGTTTTCAAAACCCTGCTTGGATTTTCTGTATGACCATTATTTCCCGAGTAATTGATTGCCAAAATCAAAAATGACTTTTTTGCTTTGATCAACGATAACTCAGCGACAGATAATCGTACAAGGCTCCGGAACCGCTCAAATTGAAGAGAATTAAATTATCTTAGAGAGCCTTATGATGAAATTACCAAAAAAATTTTTTGAAGTCCATAGGCCTTTTTAAAGTATCCAAAAATTTACAATTTTTTTCCGCTAATTTTCTTACGATTACTCAAAAACTGCTGACGCCAAAAAATTTTAAACTGCAGAACTGAAAGCTTCAATTTTCTTTTTTTGATTCTCTCTACGACCATTTCCCTACAAGTTACAGCTCTTTGAAAATCACCCAAAATTTTGGGATTTTTTTTAATATCCCTTAATTTCTGTGTCTAGTGTATGTAGATTTAAAGCATATCTATTAAGTGGATTTCATGGTTTATATGTACTTGAAGATATCCATATAAAACTGACGATTGTTGTTAGATACTTTATTTATTTGCCTTTAAATGACTTTGCCATGGATTAGCGAACCTCCCTCCTTGTTGAATTCGTTGTTTTCTTTCATATTACAATATAGCTACACTTAAATTATATCTGAATATACTATTTATTATCACTACATATTATAAAACAAAGTCCTCCGCCGCGTCTGTCTGTCTGTCTCTGTCTGTCTGTCTGTTCGCGATAAACTCAAAAACTACTGCACCGATTTTCATGCTGTTTTCACCAATGGATAGAGTGGTTCTCGAGGAAGGTTTTAGTATATAATTTGTTAAGTTTTTGTATACATTAACGATATTTGTTGGAGGTGTCGGAAAAAAATAAGCCGTCTGGGAGCTTTCAACGAAAACGCTGCCTAAACCCTTTGAGATATAACAAAATAATGTATGGTGGAATTGTGTATCTTATATAGGTCTACAGAAAAGTCCGCGATGGCATATGTCTATCTCTTAAGGATAACATACTATATCCATTTTAATACTTTAAAAAATGGGCAATTATAAAGCGGTAATTGGAAAGCTATTTACACAAATACGGTATTAATCCTTATCATTTTAAATACGTTAGTTGGCTTGAGCATTTCATGAAGATTATTTTTTCCCTTTACACCATGCAAATTAAATGAATACCTTAGGAGATATAGCAAAATCAAAATAATGCGCAACGAAATTAATTTCGTGTCGCCGTGATTCGACCGGGCCGCGCGGGCGCCCCGTGACCCCGCGCCTCGCGTCCGAGCCGGGGGGGTCCGAAAGTTTATGTAGTGTATCAATGTATGGTGGAATTGTGTATCTTATATATGCCTACAGAAAAGTCCGCGATGGCATATGTCTATATGTTAAAGATAACATACTACCTATATCCATTTTAATACTTTAAAAAATTGGCAATTATAAAGCGGTAATGTAAAAGCTATTTACACAAATACGGTATTAATCCTTATCATTTTAAATAAGTTAGAGGCTTTAAGCATTTCATGCACATTATTTTACTCTTTTACACCATATAATTTAAATGAATATCTTAGGAGTAATCGCAAAAAAATTACGGACGCGAGAATAAAATTCAAGCGCCTCGCTTCGCTTGATGCGATCGCCGACCCTCCCCCCGCACCGTCTTGCCTACTGTTTAGCTAATAAGCCGAACGATAACGCGCGCGTGATCCTTTAATAAACTGACTTGGAGCGAATGGAGGTGACGACTGACGACTGTGTTTTCTTTCTGGGTGTTGTTGGAAAGTTATAATTGCGTTCGATATTTTAAGGTCACATTTTTGTTTTGTATTTGTTGTCTTTAGGTAGTCGGAACATACATAGATACTTGCAAACATACTTTTATTTCATTGAGTTTTAATAATTTGTTTGTTTTTTTCTTATTGTGAATCATTTAAAACTTCATAGTCGCATTTTTGTTTCGTGTTTGTTTTCTTTAGGTAGTTAGATACCTAACTACTTACTTATTAATTAAAATTGATAGTCCTGAACATAGGTACTTTAATTTAATTCGTTTTGTTTTCACATTGTTGGTAGTTACCTATATTGTTTTAAATTTAAAGGTTTTGCATTTTTAGTTTTGAGTTCGTTTGTTGTCTTTAGGTATATAGATATATCGTGAATTATTTTAAAATTAATATTAGGGTCGCATTAGATGAAAGATGATTGTTTTTTTGTTTGTTACGATTTAACTCAAAAACTACTCAACCAATTTCACCGAAAGCTACATCTCCTCGGAGTAACATAGGTTATTTTATATTTGCCTGACTGCTAGTTATTATTAAATATCTACTTTAATGCATTTGGTCCTCAAAGTTTCCGTCTGGCTTCCTTCTTTTCATACCATAAACCTGTCTACACCAATAATGACTTGACAACTACTGTAAACAGTAAAAGTTAGTATATTTAAAGGTCTTCAAAGGACGAGAGAAATAGCGATTATAATTCAGATTGCTTGGGAATAAATCTCTTTAATTTCTACAATCTAAGAGCCCATTACTGTTTTATGTCACTTCACAGGCAATAAACAACTATAACTACGATGGCCCCCGTGTGAAATATCCCGCGCGCGGCCCTGCCGGGCTGATTACAACGCGGAACAGAATCAAAGGAGCCGTCATCGTATTTATAACTGCCCCCGACCGTGACATCAATGTTCTAAATAAAAACCATTACAATTAATTACAGATAATGGCCAAACGCTTGTGCAACAATCACTTACCGTTGCGCCCGAAGCCCCAGGAAGCACTTAATCCCTTACTTAAGAGTCACTGACACTGCCGAAACGGCACACAACGCGACGCGACGGCTTTTGTTTACCTCCGCGAAACATTTGCCGGCAGCTGTCAAAAATTTTCGGTCAAAACTCGAGCGTAGCGATGGAAAACTAGCAGGCTGCGAGAACAATAATCGGAAGGCAATGTCCGGCCACTATTGGAAGCGAGTTAGCGCGCGAGATTAGTGGAAGTTGGCGTCGAGACGCGTCCGCGGTCGGGAACCCGGCACACTTGATGAAGGGGAGCGTGTCGCTGCCGCTATGAGCGCCGGCGCGCTTGATCTGTCAATGCGACTAGTAGTACGCGGCCGACGTCGGTTGACGGTCTAGGGACTCCGGAATGGGATCCAGGACGCGTAATGACGTTTTACATATATAGTCCATTGAAAAGTTACATTTGGGGGTTGCAAAAGTCAGAGCACGCAATTTTATTTTTTTTTGGATATCAAGAAGGGGTTAGTGTAAAGTTAAATCCATGTTTGTGGGGTCGCAACCCTTGTGCATCGGCCGCCATCTTGTAAAAAGGGCCGCGAATGGTTTTTATACTACTACTTACTATATCGGGCAAACTATTCGTCGCACAGAAAATTTGTAAATACATTCTTTGTTGTAAATTAAATTCTCTACAACTTTGGTTCCGTAACTTTTAGAACCAAAAATAACAAAGTTATTAACGAAAATAGATAAAAATTTGGGAACGAATTTTCTTTTGGTCGTTATAACTTTTTTCTGGTCATTTTACAAAATAAATACATCAGAACATTTTGATAGAGGGTTTTTCAAGGAATAATTTCCATTACAAACTTTTTCAAATTTTATTTATTTATTAGGGTTTTACAGCGATGCGAAACTTACACTATTCTCCAGTCGGGAGACCAAAATATGACGATTAAGCTAAACAATGTTGTATGTTTAAGAGATACAGGATGTAGAAAGTTATATAATTTTAAAATTTCTCAACAGTTTTGAAAGTTTTTACAGTTTTAAGTTCAATATTGTAAGTTTTACGATTTTTTGTGCAGCAGATATTAATCATCTTATAGGGGGCCAGTTATACGTTATGGCTTAGGTAAACCAAGGAAATCTTTCTTATATAACTGTTGTAAAAATGAGTGATAATTCCGAAAGGGGATCACTTTCTATCTAATAGATATTTTATCTTAAACGTTTAATTTCACACCTATTATTTTCAATTAAATACTAAGTTTTCCCAGCTGCCCAATAACTTTGTCAATTGAATCTAGAGCCTTCATAAATGTTTATAAGCCACGTGACCACTGAGCTTAGGTGTCCCAACATTGCATGATTGGTACTGGTAACGAAAATTCTCTAGACATTGGCGTCACCAATATTGATGACTTATTTACAGCGACCAATGACGAACTGTTACGTCTGCGCTCGGATAATACGATCGCTGATTGGTTGAACAGTATCTCGTGAAAAATTATACCAACCACAACTGGTGAAACAAAATGTTGTGTTTTAATGTAACCTCGATCTTACTGTTTCAATAATTTTTATTTTACCGAAATTTAATGGCCAACATGAAGGAAATAAAATTAGTGTTCCAAACAAAATTAGTGGCCACGTGACTTGTAAACATTTGTGAATGCTCTGTACATGTGTCTCTTACTTATGCGGACAGATCTGCTAAGACAAACATATATTACATTTTATTCCTTGATGTCGTTCTGTATTATCCCGCGTCATAGATTACGTCACTACACTATACAAGTTACGTTTCATTTTAGGTAATTTTTTAGTTTTATTTATTGTTGTTAACTTCAGGTTGTAATATGGATAATAGTAGGTAATAATTCTTTATGTTCAAGTGCATCGAATGGTATGACCCACAATTCGAAAATAGTTGGAATTATTTCAACTTTTTAACTTTAACTTTTAACTTTTTTCAGTTTTATTCTATTATTCTCCAATTCTTAAAATATAAGATGAGGCAAACATAGAGTGATGAAATTCAGTCACCATCTCTAAGAACCCCAGAAAAGAACTATTTTATTCATTTCTATTCAATCATTTTAAACAAAAGAAGATACTGAGGTGCATAAAAATGACCAGAGGGACGGGTGCAGGAATATATGGACTCAGACCTGGGTGGTGTGCAAGCTACAGTCTGGGGGAGTTCCCTACTGTATTCCAAGCAGAAATCTTCGCAATAATGGCGTGTCTGGCAGAGAATGTACGTAGAGGTTATAGACGTAAACTCATATATATATTCTCTGATAGTCAAGCTGCAATTAAAGCTTTAGCCGCACACAAGGTAAGTTCAAAACTGGTGTGGGACTGTTTACAAATGCTAACTGAACTGGCCACCAACAATACAGTCAGACTGTGTTGGGTGCCAGGGCACAAAGGCATTTGTGGAAATGAGAAAGCGGATGAACTTGTGTGGTCAGGCGGGCTGTGGGCAAATGGACAGAGACAGAACATAGGAAATACTGGACTTCAAGGCCAGGACATAGCCATTCCAAGGAGCTTATGGAGTATCCTTCGAATGGAAGAGCGATTGAGTTACTGAGCTTGAACAGAATCCGGCTCAGGAGAGTGACAGGACTCATAACGGGACACTGTCACTTTAAGAAACATCTACATAGACTAAAGCTTGTAGACAGTCCGGTCTGCCGAGGATGTGAATCGGCGGATGAAACTTCTCTGCATATCCTGGGCGAGTGCCCGGGATTTGCACGTAGCAGAATGGCGCTCCTTGGGAGACCCTATTTGGAACCCAAGGAGCTGAGAGAAGTGTCAGCAAGGAAGCTTTTGGACTTTGTAAAAAGGACAAATCTACTTGCTGAATAGGACTAGTGGTGGGACGCACAATAGGCCTAATTAGGCCGCAGTGCTATGGGACTTTTAAAGGACCAACCACTAGATGATGAAGATGAGAAGATGAGATGAGGTGCATAAATATATATCTATCAGCGAGAGATATCATTTTTTAAATCAATTAAACAGCTTTTCTTAGCTTTAAGTCCGAAGATAAACCTTCCTATTGGTTTTGCAAAAGGAAAAGTAGATTTAATGAAATCGGGTACCACAAACTATAATATTATATGTGAAATGTAAATAGATAGTTCAGCATCTGTCTGCTTGTGAATATACTTTTTTAGTTGTAAGCTAAAAGATTAATCATCATTGACTTTTAGAAATACTGTCAATACAAGTATCAACGAAAGTGATGGATCAAGAAACTTTGTCAACTTTATCAAGTATTCTGTTGTAGCCTGCAGGGTTAAATGAATCTCATTGCAACAGTTTTATTATCTATATTTTATTATTAATATTAAATGATTGAAGAGACACCACTTATTGAATCTTTCATACAGGGTGTTTGCAGGTATGTGCGAAATATTTTAGTGGGTGATTGCCGAAGTTATTTTGTGAAAAAAAGTTCATATCAACGTAGGTCGAAATATGCTTCGTTTCCGACATACACAGTGTTTAAATTTAAATTTTTTATTTATTTTTATTAATTATTTCATTATTTTTAAAGATATTGACTCGAAATTTGAAAAACGCTTTGGATTGATAAATATGCATTTTTTGGGGTGATCCGAATATTTCTACTTGCACCAGTGGTGTGGAGATGGCAAATCGTTTATAACATTTGAAAATATATAGGGGCTCTAGTACAGAACCTTGAAGAACCATATGTAAAACTATATGACAGATATCTCTAAGATATTGTAATGACATTTAGAAAGTCATGTAATATATGACAAAAGGGTAACATAGCCTTTGAGTAGCATGTATATATATATATATATATATATATATATATAGGAAGTTAGTGAAATATTAGAATAATGTTAGTACTTGAAACTTCAATATTAGGTTCATTACGATCTAATTTCGAACAATTTGTAAACATGAGGATGTCGTGTAATAGAGTAGTCATGTTTTTTCCATTTTTGGTTTAAACTTAATCTAGTTGTAAAAGTTCATAAACTAGAACTATTATCCTAGAAGACAAATACAGAATTGATTCCACGATTTTAACAAACATAAACAGATCTAGTTTTCATTGCTGGTCGGGGTATTAGTCCTCAGAGTAGTTGTTTGCCGCATTATGATCGGTTCAAAAATGTTAGGTCTTGCTCTCATAGTACCTTCCAAATAGCAGGCCGCTCTGTGCCAATGTTATCATAGCAATGACCACTCATAGATATAACACTTGGGCATATTTCACTCATGTTCATTTTATGTCTCTAGTTAAGGTATCAAATATATCTGGATGATTTGTCGGTTATCTCAGTCATGGCATACTGATATAAACTAATATGTTTGAAACCAGTATATGTCAATATTGGTCGGGGCATTAGTCCCAGAGTAGTTTGTTGTTTTCTGCATCATTATTAGTTAAAAAAAACGCAAATACCTTACAGACGCAATTACTTCATGTCTGATTTTACTTCACGCACGCTGTAGTAGCAATGTGCTCGTATTTTCAAACGATAACATCTGGAAATAAGTTTGTAAACCTGTATTTTATGGTGAAGTTGATGGAAAATATACTATATAATTTCAACATGAAATATAAATCCAAATAAAACTTATGTCAATTGCAATAATCTCTTGCAAGAATAGTATTTTCCCGCAAATAACAAACAGGTAGGGGAGTTTTTATCTAACAAAAATTGACAAAATTTGAAAGCAATTCATAGTATTTTCGATTTTTAGTTTAGTCTTTTTAATGCTTATGAAAATATATGTATACTTATTCTGAAAATCGAATAAAATATAGAACACAACAGAAAAATTTATTTTTTCACAAAATTCTCCATGAAACTATTGTAATTGACTGTCGAAAGATCATTTTTGATAGCTTGTGTCTTTTTTGGAAAGCGAAATTTTTCAAAAAATAACATCTTCTTCGATATTTGTACCCTATATATATATTATTTATAAATAATGCTAATGGGTTGCCTATGGATTAAAGGAATATTTAAGTAACGTACGCAAATGTTTTATGATGGTTCAGACCTTTTCCATTTATGTGGGGTTTTTTGTTTGTTATTAACTGAACTAACCGTTTTGATTATGCTCCAATGAAGAGAATAAAAAATTAAAGTTCTTAAAAATTACATTATCTTAAAAACGAAGAGTTCTTCGAAAACATATTGTTAGGCGAAAGTTGTTGTTTTTAATAATTGTTAAATTTATGGTTAACATTTTGCCACCTAT